TACTTTTCGTACAAATATGTACACTTTTTTTAAAGCTACCTCAATCCTGTACTCCAATATTAGTCCTAATTCCGATTATCAGGTTTCCATCTCCATACGCTCAACTGAATGCAAATAGTACCAAATTTAGTACGATTTTGAACTTTTTATACACATAAGTACGAATGTCTTAAACCATTTCCGTAAATCAACACCACAACTGTATTCCATTTAAAATTTTAAGATTCTAGCTATATATGTTCAATATATATACAATTGGAACTAAATTCAGTAAATTTTAGTACTTTTAGTACACTTATATGTCGAATTTCCAAAAACCCTTTTGTACATCTTTCTAACTTTCCATCAGTGACCCATATTCCAAATTTCAGAATCTAGCTAGCTCTTCCCATTCGCCTAATACAAAGGGTACGATATTTGGTACATTTTAGTACTTTTCGTACCCTTCTAGTTCGAATTTCCAAAAACCCAGCCTTATCTCACGCCTACACACCAACAACAACAACACACACTCAAAATTTCAAGCTTCTAGCTTTAGTCGTTTCGTCTGGGCGATGATCTGTCAGTCAGTCACTCACTCACTTAACACTAAGCTCTTTTATATATTAAGATATACCCAAAGTGGTGAAGGGTATCATATAGTCGGCCCAGTCCGACTTTACTGCTTTTCTTACCGGTTTAATATATTTTTCTCAATGCATCATTAAAAAATAAAAAAAAAATAAAAAAAATTAAAAAAAACAGTAAGGAAAATAGAAATGTCACCACTTTGGGTATATTTAACAGATGAATCTTAACAAATGTCGCATTTTTAAACAACCAGTAAAATGAAATTGGATCCATAAACATGTCATTTTGCAACCTATACTACAGTTTTCATTTGGTCAAATATAGAATCTATATCTAAATCTGAACCGATTTCATGAAACACACATCATTCTAGACCCAATTCATTACGCTACGCTAAATTTGGTGCAAACCGAAAGATATTAAGGGACTTTGGTACACCATTTACCTTAAATCGGACGAAAATATATATGGGAGTCAACTCAGAAAGTGATTTGTGCACATTTTCAAAAGGAACCATTTGCCTATTTGCCTAAAGGCATAATATGCCTAATAATGCCTAAAGGCATAATATATAAATCTGAACCGATTTCAACAAAACTCGGATCATAAATGCGACATTGTTAACAAAAATACATGGACGGACTCAGAAAGTGATTCTATGCATATTCTCAAAAGGAACCATGGGTCTATCCCGATTCGTTTTGCCTGTTACAAACATATGCACACAGTGTGGTGCCATAGACGACTACAAAAACCAAATTACAAAAAAGAATTGGGGGGTACTCTTATATGGGGGCTACCCGAAAAAATTGACCTATATTTATAATTTATAGCGAACTCGACGTACTAAATTACAGTCAATTCGGTCGAAAAATACGATCAGAACCCCCAAAATACCAAAAATTTGGGGGTACCGTTATATGGGGACTACCAGAAAAACTGGACCTATATTTATAATTTTTTTTAGTGGAGTAATTTGGTACCCAATAAGAACCCAATTTACAAAATTTTAGAGAACTTAGTTATAAAACGAGCCCAAGAACCCGAAAATTGGAGGTACCCTTATATTGGGGCTATCCGAAAAAATGGACCTTTATTTATAATTTTTGGTAGGGAGATTTGCCACCCAAAAAGAACTTAAAGTACCAAAAAAAAAAAGTAAAAAAAACAGTAAGGAAAATAGAAATGTCACCACTTTGGGTATATTTAACAGATGAATCTTAACAAATGTCGCATTTTTAAACAACCAGTAAAATGAAATTGGATCCATAAACATGTCATTTTGCAACCTATACTACAGTTTTCATTTGGTCAAATATAGAATCTATATCTAAATCTGAACCGATTTCATGAAACACACATCATTCTAGACCCAATTCATTACGCTACGCTAAATTTGGTGCAAACCGAAAGATATTAAGGGACTTTGGTACACCATTTACCTTAAATCGGACGAAAATATATATGGGAGTCAACTCAGAAAGTGATTTGTGCACATTTTCAAAAGGAACCATTTGCCTATTTGCCTAAAGGCATAATATGCCTAATAATGCCTAAAGGCATAATATATAAATCTGAACCGATTTCAACAAAACTCGGATCATAAATGCGACATTGTTAACAAAAATACATGGACGGACTCAGAAAGTGATTCTATGCATATTCTCAAAAGGAACCATGGGTCTATCCCGATTCGTTTTGCCTGTTACAAACATATGCACACAGTGTGGTGCCATAGACGACTACAAAAACCAAATTACAAAAAAGAATTGGGGGGTACTCTTATATGGGGGCTACCCGAAAAAATTGACCTATATTTATAATTTATAGCGAACTCGACGTACTAAATTACAGTCAATTCGGTCGAAAAATACGATCAGAACCCCCAAAATACCAAAAATTTGGGGGTACCGTTATATGGGGACTACCAGAAAAACTGGACCTATATTTATAATTTTTTTTAGTGGAGTAATTTGGTACCCAATAAGAACCCAATTTACAAAATTTTAGAGAACTTAGTTATAAAACGAGCCCAAGAACCCGAAAATTGGAGGTACCCTTATATTGGGGCTATCCGAAAAAATGGACCTTTATTTATAATTTTTGGTAGGGAGATTTGCCACCCAAAAAGAACTTAAAGTACCAAATTTCAGCGAATTCGGTCGAAAACTGCGATCAAAACCCCCAAAATACCGAAAATTGGGGGTACCCTTATATGGGGGCTATCCGAAAAATGGACCTTTATTAATAATTTTTGGTAGGGAGATTTGCTACCCAATAAGAATTCAAAGTTCCAAAATTTCAGCGAATTCAGTTAAAAAACGCGCTCAAGAACCTCAAAATGTCGAAAATTTGGGGGTACCCTTATATGGGAGCTATGCCTAAACGTGGACCGATTTTCTTCAATTTCAATAGGATTCGTCCAATTAAGTAACATGTGCCAAATTTCATCGAAATCGGATCATAAATGCGATCTGGGGGGCTACTCTGTATTGCGATGCGTGAGAAATATTGTAACGCATCGCGTAATTGGTACTCTCTAATTCGTTTTCGTATCTCCTTTCGCATCTACTTTACGCAAATGTAGCATCACCGCACTCTGTAATACGAAAACGCGTGTCAAACTCGAGTTTCCAAACATGTCTTTATATTTCTTCAACAGAAATCTCAATTTCAAACCTTCCGAGCAAAACACAAAATGTAAATTTAGTACCATATAGTACCTTTCGTACCAATAAGTACACATTTCATGATCTACCTCAGCCCCACACTCCAACAGTAGTTTTTATTCCCAATTTAAAGACTCCAGCTCTATCCATTCACCTACATCCAAATTGCACCAAATTTAGTAACATTATTACTTTTCGTACAAATAAGTACAATTTTTGAATGCTACCTCAATTCTGTATTCAACAGAAATCTCAATTTCAAACCTTCCAAGCAAAACCCAAATTGTAAATTTTGTACCATATAGTACCTTGCGTACCAATAAGTACAAATTTCATAACCTACCTCAGTCCCACACTCCAACAGTCATTTTAATTCCCAATTTGAAGACTCCAGCTCTATCTTTACACCTAAATCCATCTTGCACCATATTTAGTACCATTATTACTTTTCGTACAAATAAGTACAATTTTTTTAAAGCTACCTCAATCCTGTACTCCAATATTAGTTCTAATTCCGATTATCAGGATTCCATATCCATACGCTCAACTGAATGCAAATAGTACCAAATTTAGTACGATTTTGAACTTTTTATACACATAAGTACGAATGTCTTAAACCATTTCCGTACATCAACACCACAACTGTATTCCATTTAAAAGTTTATGCTTCTAGCTATATATGTTCAATATATATACAATTGGAACTAAATTCAGTAAATTTTAGTACTTTTAGTACACTTATATGTCGAATTTCCAAAAACCCTTTTGTACATCTTTCTAACTTTCCATCAGTGACCCACGTTCCAAATTTCAGAATCTAGCTAGCTCTTCCCGTTCGCCTAATACAAAGGGTACGATATTTGGTACATTTTAGTACTTTTCGTACCCTTCTAGTTCGATGATCTGTCAGCCACTCAGTCACTCACTTAACACTAAGCTATTTTATATATTAAGATATACCCAAAGTGGTGAAGGGTATCGTATAGTCGGCCCAGTCCGACTTTACTGCTTTTCTTACCGGTTTAAAATATTTTTCTCAATGCATCATTAAGGCGTGGAATTTTTAAAAAAAATATATTTTTTTTTGTTTTTTTCATATAAATTTCTTTTTATTACAAAAAAACATAATAAATAAATTATTTTAATAAAAAAAAATATACATCCACAAAAAATTATTAACACACACACTTACATATTTATACAAAATTAAAAAATTATATATTAAGTAATAGAAAAAAATACTATAAAATATATGAAACGATACTTAATTACTTAAAGGTGTGTAAATGCAATTCAAAATAACGGTTATAACGAACAAAGTTTATAACAAACTAAAGGGGTCTAGATAATCCCACAAATCCACTAGCCAAATCCTACAACCTTTTATTGCCGACCCCATAGTTTTTTTTTTGTTATAAACAATTTCGTTATAACCCTTATTGCTTGCATCTACAACAATTTGTTGTTGTTGGTTTTTATTTAAATTATTCTATTTATTTTTTTTTTTCGTTGTAACTGGGGAAAACTTTTAGGAAACCTTGTGTTCATTATTTGTTTTTTTTTCAAATTTCATTTTTTAATGAAATTAAAAAAATTCCACTTTTTTTCAATAAAAAATTAACAATTTGACTATATATTTTCTTTCAAACACAAAGTGAAGTTTTCTTCTATTTTTTTTCTTTTCCAAACAAAGAAAATCTATTTGTCGACTATTATTAGTATTACTCTTAGTTTTTCCTTTGCCTACGCCTAAAAGTATGCTTATGACTGTTGCTTGCTTTGCTCGTCTTCCATTGTCAGTTGTGAATTGACAAATTTACTTAACTCAGCTCCATCCTCATCGGCACTAGGTGTTGTTGCTGCTGTTGTTGTGGTTGATGTTTTACGATTTTCTTCATCCATACTATCTTTCAGACTTTGTATATCCAGACCACCACCTACAGCACGATTTGAGGTGGCGCCATCTGCTTTCTCCTCATCTCCAGCCTGTTTATTGTATTTCGAAAAATAGGTCAACGATTTCATTAGCTGATAACTTTTCGAAATGGGTATATTCGAATCATAGACACTTTTCGATGAGGCACAATCGACATAGAACCACCAGTTACATTTGAGTATGGTCTGATCGAAGAGGGTATTCTCGGGACAGAGGAACGATTTGCGGACCATACCATCATCGGTAAGGGCACAGACGTGGAAGACCTTAATAGAGAAAGGAAGAAAAAAATATTATTATTAATAACCAGTAAAAAAGTAGTAAAGTCGGACGGTACCGACTATATGATACCCTTCACCACTATGGATATATTAAACAGATGCATCCTAACAGACTTGGCATTTTTGGAGGACCATTAACCTATACAGGAGCTATATCGACATCTGAACCGATTTATAGGGTCACATCGAAAGATATATAGGGTCTTTGGTGCGCCTTTTACATTAAATGAGAATGAGAAAATATATATGGGACCTATATCTAAATCTGAATCGATTTCAGGAAACTTAACACACATCATTTTAGACCTAATTCATTATGCTGTGCCAAATTTCGTGCAAATCGAAAGATATATAGGGTCTTTGGTGCCCAATTTACCATAAATCGGACGAAAATATATATGGGAGCTATATCTAAATCTGAACCGATTTTCACGAAACTTATCATACACCATTCTAGGCCTAATTCAGTAGGCTGTGCCAAATTTTGTGCAAATCGAAAAATGTATAGGGTCTTTTGTGCCCTATTTACATTAAATCGGACGAAAATATATATGGGAGCTATATCTAAATCTGAACCGATTTTCACGAACCTTATCACATATCATTCTAGGCCTAATTCAGTACGCTGTGCCCAATTTCGTTTAAATCGGATGATATATAGGGATTTTGGTGCCCAATTTACCTTAAATCGGACGAAAATATATATGGGAGCTATATCTAGATCTGAACCGATGTTCACGAAACTTATCACACATCATTCTAGGCTTAATTCAGAAGGCTGTGCCAAATTTTGTGCAAATAGAAAGATATATAGGGTCTTTTGTGCCCTATTTACATTAAATCGGACGAAAATATATATGGGAGCTATATCTAAATCTGAACGGATTTTTACGAAATTTAACACACATCATTCTAGGCTTTATTCAGTAGGCTGTGCCCAATTTCGTTTAAATCGGATGATATATAGGGATTTTGGTGCGCCATTTACCTTAAATTGGACAAAAATATATGTATGGGAGATATATCTAGATCTGAACCGATTTTCGCGAAACTTAACGCACACCATTCTAGGCTTAATTCAGTAGGCTGTGCCAAATTTTGTGCAAATCGAATGATATATAGAGTCTTTTGTGCGGCATTTGCATTAAATCGGACGAAAAAATATATGGGAGCTATATCTAAATCAGAACCGATTTTCGCGAAACTCATCACACATCATTCTAGACTCAATTCAGTACGCTATGCCAAATTTCGTGCAAATCGAATGACATATAGGGACATTGGTGCCCCATTTATATAAAATCGGAGGAAAATATATATGGAAGCTATATCTAAATCAGAACCGATTTTCGCGAAACTTATCACACATCATTCTAAACTCAATTCAGTACGCTATGCCAAATTTCGTGTAAATCGAAAGATATATATGGACTTTGGAGAACCATTTACCTTAAATCGGACGAAAATATATATGGGTTCGTCCTTGGGCCAAATAAGTGAAAAATATTTTTTGAAAGTAACAACAAGACGTAGAATTAAAAAAAATATAACCTCCCAATGAAGATCGACTGATTTTCTCATAGAAGATCGACGGCTCGACTTATTTTTTAGTAAAAGATCGACTGCTCGACTTATTTTTAATAGAAGATCGACTGACATTCTCATACAGATCGGCTGATCTTCTCAAAGAAGATCGACTGATCTTCTCAAAGAAGATCGACTGATCTTTTCATAGACGATCGACTGATCTTTTCATAGACTATCGACTGATCTTCTCAAAGAAGATCGACTGATATTTTCATAGAGATCGACTAATCTTCTGAAAAAAGATCGAGTGATCTTTTCATAGACGATCGACTGATCTTCTTACAGAAGATAGACTGATTTTTTCATAGACTATCGACTGATCTTCTCAAAGAAGATCGACTGATCTTTTCATAGACGATCGACTGATCTTCTCAAAGCAGATCGAGTGATCTTTTCATAGACGATCGACTGATCTTCTTACAGAAGATAGACTGATCTTCTCATTGAAGATCTTATAGATCATTTGATCTTTTAATAAAAGATCGATTGTTCTTCTCATAGAAGTTCGACAGATCTTCCCACAGAAGATTAAGGAATATTAGAAATTCGACTGATCTCCCTTAGAAGATCGTCTGATGTTCCCATAGAAGATCGGCAGATCTTTTCACAGAAGGTAGTCTTCACAACAGATCGACTGATGTTCCAAAGAAAGTCTACTGATATTTTACCGAAGTTCTACAGATATTTTTATATAAGATCGACCATTCATCTCATGGATGATGAAGGAATCTTCTCACAGAAGATCAACCGATCTTCACAAAAAAAATCGGCACATCTTTCCATAGAAATTCAAAGTATCTTCTCAACGAAAATAGACCGATCTTCTCCCAAAAGATATTCTGATCATTCCTAGAAGATCGACTCATATTTTCACAGAATATTGGCTGATCTTCCCATATGCGATCAAGGGAATTTCGCACAGAAGATCGAATGTTCTTCCTAAATAAGCCGATAGATCTTCTCGCAGAAGAAATTTGGCTTATATTCTCATAACAGAACGACGAATATCTAGCATTTTTTTAACTCGAGAAATCTGGAAGGTCCTTGCATTCAAAAAACTATCCTTCATACTTACCATACAACCCAAATCCGTATCGGCATACAGGCCAGGGAAATGTTTCTGTTTGGCACAAGAGAAAGATGTGGGCGGCAGATCCACCTTCGATTTGAAATTGTCATCGAAGTTTTTGTCATAACCGACTGGGTAATATTCCTTGGGAGCGTTCATGACCTGAGGACAGAAAAAAACATAAATATCTTCCCCCAAATAGGTTATTCATATTATTCATCCTACCTTCGAATTTTTACTTTCCGATTGAACGAAATTATTCTCCTCCGCAAAATGATTGACCTGTGGCGGTCTTGGCGTAGTAGTGGTCGTTGTTGTTGTGGTAGTAGTGGTGGTGCTTGTAGAACTTGTGGAAGTTCGCATAAATTCCTCACGTAGCTTGGCGGCCAACATGGCACGATGTTCAGCCTTTAGCTGTTGCTCCCGAACATATATGGCATGTTTAATGGTTTCCACGCTGACATTGGCGGCCTTTGCCAATTCCTCTACGGTAATATCTTTCATATCGAATTTTGGCTCCTCAAATTGTAAATAATTTGGATGATTGGCAATGGCGGGAGATGTGCTGGGCTTGGGAGTTTTCAGAACAGCTGTTATTTTATTTACCGAACTTGGCATTGCTTGGAACGCTGGCACAGCCATGGGTTTCGAGATCATCACAGCATTTTGTGGATGGAAGGTGCGATTGTTGTTCAGATGTTGGGTATATTGATCGACCAGCTTGTTATTGATACTCATTCGGGAGTTGGGTGTATCGACAGCAACACTTTGTGATCGACGTTCGGCGAAGGGAATTGCGGCAAGTTGTTTTTGTGGTATGGGTTTGAAAGCGGGTACCCCAAGAGGAAGGGGTCGGGCTTCTGTCATAAGGGGTTTTTGTTGTGATCGTTTTGCTGCCAATTCTCGCAGAGCTGCTTGTTGAGCGCGCAGTTCGGCTTGTCGTTTTTGTTGGATTAGCATTTCATTGAGAGCTTGCTGCCGAGCGGGATCTACCGCGCCGCCGCCTTGTTGTCGAGCTAACATTTCAGCTGCCGCTGCTGCCTTGGCCTGCTTTTGCAGTGATTCTCTTAGTTCGGGACTTATGACCATGGGCGATCGTGATTGAATGCGTTTATCCATAAGGGATTGGGCGGAGGGCTGAAAAGGAGATGGAGATTATTAGAGATCAGATTGTTGAGGTGAAAAGTCCTCCATGAAGACCACCGATTTACCAGTGGTGGATAAATTATCCAAAGTAGTCGAGCAATGGTCGGCTGTGGTGAATAAATTATTTACAGTGGTAGAAAAATTCTGCACCGTGGTGGATATTTCATTCACAGTGGTGGAACATTTTTTAAAAGTTGAGGATCAATTATCCACTGTGATTTAGAAAAATTATCCACTGTGGTGAATAAATTATCCGCTGAGGTCGATCGATTATCCATAATTTACCCCAATGTGGATAAATTATTAAATGTGGTAGATAAGTTATACACAGTGGTAGAAAAAAATTTCCGCAGTGGTAGATAAATTATACACAGGGATGGATAAATTATCCACAGCGATGGAAAAATTACCCACAGTGGTGGATAAGTTATCCACAGTAGTAGATAAATTATACTCAGTGTTAGATAAATTATCCGCAGGGATGGATACATTATCCGCATGGATGGATAAATTATCCGCAGTGGTGGATAAATTCTCTACAATGGTGAATAAATTATCCACAGTGGTGGATGAATTATCCACAGTGACGGATAAATTATCCACAGTGGTGAATAAAATATCAACAGCGATGGATAAATTATCCACCACTGTGAATAACATATCCACCTCTGTTGATAAGTTATCTACCGTTTACCTATTAACTAATACCCCTTCTCAACTCACCTGTTGATTGGCCGGCAGCACGCCAACATTTGGTGGTGGTCCATTTTTGTAGCCAATTGAACGGCGACGACCTCCTTCAACATTGCCCAAGGACTCAGGGAAACCAAGTTCATCGCCCAGACTGAAACCTAAAATAGAAAATAAGAAAAAAATAACAACAAAACATTAATTACTTTAAACCATCTCATAAAACAACGACAACAACAAACACCATATTTTTTTCAAAATCAATTGATGGACGTGAGAAATCCAAACCACAGCAGCTTTTTCAGTTTCACACCTGATTTGCTGTTTTTTTTTTTCAAAATAATTAATATTGAGTTCCGCGACGTCTTATTGAATGCTTAGCTAAATGGCATACAAAATCACCCGACATTATCATCATCAACCATCCCGCTGCCATCAATCATCGCTGACAATAATAATCATGCAAAATCAACAGAAAATTTGCAATTAGTGTCCACAAAAAAAATTGTGATTTTGAGCATGCCCTCCGCACCCTTTTTTATTTATTATTGACCTATCATTTCATTTGGTTTTGATTTGGGTATTCAATTTTCGATTTTGAAGACTATTATAAAGATGTCATAGTTAATGGCAGGTTATGGTTCCGCAAAGGGAATTTTGCAAAATTTATTACCCAAATGATAGGTCATTTGCAGCGTGTGTGGGAAATTATGGTGATTTGAGATAAATTACCGTTAGGTGATTAAAACATTTGGAATTTAATTATCTAACCTACAAATATAAAGGGGTCAACTTCTAGTTTCTTTAAATGATGATTAAAGATTGAATAGAACAGAAATTTCCGAAAAATGTTCTGTGAATTGTGTCAAGAATGATTGGAAGATGATTGAAGTTGGCAAATTATTTTACAGTTACTGACAGCATCTCGAATATGAACGAGAACGAATGAAGAATATGGGAATAATGAAACGAGATCACAAAATGGTAGAGTTATGTCGTTCCGGAACGAACTAGTCCAAAGAACTATTCCGATCCAGGAACGATCCGTTCACCTGGTTCCTTTTGCTCCAATCGTTCCTTCTTGCTCTCGTTCACCTAGTTCATTCCGCTCGTTCGTTCCTCTCGCTCTCGTTCCTTTTGCTCCCATTGTTAATTTCGTTCCACCAATGTCAATATTTTTGCTCCAGTTGGTAATTTCGTTCCACTATCGCATATATGTGAATCAGTTAATGTAACATTAGCTGTCTCTTTCTTTATTGATGAATGAAATATTCCGAGCTATAGTTACATCTGTAATGATTTAATTAAATCGTGACACACGTTATTCTAGTCGCAATACAAATTAAGAGTGTATTTCAAGCAAAAAGAAGAAGCATGAACGATAGTATTGACCGAACGAACTGTCGTGTACCATTGGACGAGTGAACTAAAAGGAACTATGGAACTAAAGGAACGACCTAGTTCCTTTTGCGGAGCGGACCGAAAAATATCGAACCGCTCAAGGAACTAGATTGCCCAACTCTACAAAATGGAGCTATAGAACTAAACCTAGTTCATTTGGACATGTTTGTTCTGGAAATAACCAAGTCTAAATTTCTCCTTCGCATAGGCTAGGTGGAAAATACGGCGCCAAATATAGGCACAAGGCTTATGGCGTAGTACAGTGGATAATGTACAAACTGATGGATCCTTCAAATCCAAGCGGAAGAGAGATATTCTTCCAAAGTGGTTTAAACAAATATATGTAAAAAGAAGATTACATACCACACCAGATGTAATGCATCAACACATGAAGACAACATAGAATGGAAGTGACAAGAGATAACGCCACCCAGAGAAAAATCGACACACTAAATAACCAAGAACCCGAACCACGGCACGACGGAAAGAATGAGAAAGTAGGTAGAAGTGGAAAATTCATTTTGATTTGACAACATCGAAAAGTCGACTTTTTTGTGGAAGCAAACATCGAAAAGTCGACATTTGTTCTCGGGTACGTATCTTACCAAAGCACAAAATGTAAGGAGGCATTGTTTCTAGGCAACGATAGATGGCAGCCTCGTCACCTGGGACATGCTGCACCATACCAATCATCTTCTAAGCTGGTATAAAAACGAACAATTAAAACCAGTACGGAAAGTAGTAAAGTCGGACGGATACCCTTCACCACTTGTGTATATTCAGCAGACGATTTTTAAAAGACCAGTAAAATGAAATTGGATCCATAAACATGTCATTCTGCAACCGATACAAAATTTTTCATTTGGTCAGACATAGGAGCTATATATAAATCTGAACCGATTTGAGGAAACTTAACACACATTCTAGACCTAATTCATTACGCTGTGCCAAATTTAGTGCAAATCGAAAGATATATACAGACTTTGGTGCACCATTTACATTAAATCGGACGAAAAAATATATATGAGAGGTATATCTAAATCTGAACCGATTTTCACGAAACTTAACACACATCATTATTCATTACACTGTGCCAAATTTCGTGCAAATCGAGTGATATATAGGGACTTTGGTGCACCATTTGCTTTAAATCGAACGAAAATATATATGGGAGCTATATATGCACAAAGATATAATACCCTGTACCACAGTGTGGTGAAGGGTATAAAAATTTCCATTAGAGTCATGGATTCCATTAGAGGCGTAGATTTATAAAAAATATTTTTTATGGTGCATTAGAGGCGTGGATTTTATGAAGAATATTTTTTCAAGGTCCATTAGAGGCATGGATTTTATAAAGAATATTTTTTCAAGGTCCATTAGAGGCGTGGAATTTATAATGAATATTTTTTCAAGGTCCTTAGGCGTAGATTTTATAATGAATATTTTTTCAAGGTGCTTAGAGGCGTAGATTTTATAAAGAATATTTTTTCAGGGTCCATTAGAGGCGTAGATTTGACAAAGAATATTTTTTCAGGGTCCATTAGAGGCGTGGATTTGACAAAGAATATTTTTTCGGGCTGCATTAGAGGCGTAGATTTTATAAAGAATATTTTTTCGGGCTGCATTGGAGGCGTGAATTTTATGAAAACAGTTTTTAATTTTCTTTAAAATGTTTACCATTTTGTGTGGGAGCTACCAGAAGCAGTGGAACAGTGGGCTCCATCTTCCATCTTAAATTAAGATTTAAAGAAATATTGCGATGTGCGTATTTTGTATCAAATCGAACATTCCATACGATTATTTTTGGATTAAAAGATTTTCAAAAGGTTGACCCTTTGTGGGGAATGGACCGATGCGTCCCATCTTTGGCTTCGATCGAGGCTAAGTAAAAATATTACGATGTGCATCGTTTGGATAAAATTGAATATTTCGTTCGCTGCATATGAGATTTATAAGCTTTCAAAATGTTGACCCTTTGTGGGCCTGGTATTAGAAGGTGTGGATCGATAAGTGTAGATCGATAAGTGTGGGAGGTACCAGAAGAACACAATATTTCAATACAGGAATAATAGGAGCAAAAAAGTATATTTTACAAAATATTTACAAATTTTTTATTAATAAAAAAATGTTTATTAATTTTTTTATTAATACAAAAATAATAATAATATTCAAAAAAATGTGTGTTAGTATATATTTTCAATAATTACTTCTAGGTTAGTGTTAAAAAAAAATAAAAATATTAACAAAATTGGGTATTACCTAAACCAAAGTGCGCCTTAAGGCCGCCCAAATTTCTTACACGAAAGAGTCCAGATTTTTTGAAATTACAATTGAGTATAAAACCAAAATCGGATTCTAAAACACATGTCCCGCAAGCCAATCCTAAAAATAAAATGTAAACAAGAGGGAAGAGAAAACAAACACAGAAAAATTAGGAATTTGTAAAATAACAAAAAATTGTAGTGGTTGTTGTTTTTGTATATAAACAAATGTTAGGATTTTTACAAGGGTTTAAAATGTTTTTTTAGATTGGGGGTATATAGGGTTCCAGATATGACATATGAGGCTGGGGGGAAATGGTGGTATTGGTGAAAATGAAATTGGAAAATATAAATGTGACTACGTGT